TGGTTTACCAACTGAGGCATGCGAAAGATCAGTGTGCCCCCACCAACTCCCCACCCCCCCCACNACCCCCCCCCCCCCCCCCCCCTCAACCCCCCCCCCCCGCAAGGCCTCCCTAAGGAAGACAATGAATGGTCTAATGATGTTACCAATATACTGTAAGTACGTGTTCTGCGGAGGAATCAGAAATACACAGTTTCTGTAGAGCGGGTATCTGGTATGGAGTAGTGAGGAACCAGAGGTGTTGGTGGTGTCTCTACGAAGAGTAGGACTGGAGAGCGTGGCCATTGGCCAGACATTTTACTTCCCTTGCCCCCTTTTGTCTCTCCCCCTCCTCCGCACCGCGCCCCGCGCGCGCTCAAAGGCGTCTCCTGGATTCTTTGTTCCGGAAGAATCTCTCGACAAGACGGTACCTCCAACTGTGTGCCAGAGTCACGGCCAAGACCTCTGTTTCCAGAATGATGCGGCGTTTCGTCCCTTTGTGCGACACCTGTCAAGTGCGACCGGCGGAAGCTTGCAACACGCAGAAGCGAGACGACTTTGCCGCCTGGGTATTCAAGCACCACCGGTGGCCAAAGGCAGGGGAAGGGAAGTGGAGAGACGTGCGGCCGTCCTGCGTAGAGAAGAAGCCAAGCAGCATCAGCACTCACAAGATCAACAACAAGGACGCTGAAGGCGGCGGCGGCGACGACAACGACCACGACAGGGATGGCAATCGGGATATGATTTGAACATCGTTCTTGCCGGTGCAATGAGCCTAGACTAGACCTCCAAACCACATGAATGACGATGTATCGAGCAAGATGGGTGGTGTAAAACACGCTTTGGGGAGTTTCGACTTGCACATTATCTCGCGAATTTGGCAAGGGGAAGATGTTTCTGTTGAATCAAAGCCGATGTGTAGATGTGAGTCAAAACACGTTATTCGGAGTAGAGCGCTGCTGATGCTGTGGAATAGTTGCGCTGAATATATATTTCTTGTTGCCTTCACAGTGTTTTTCAGGATTCCCTCGTACCATTTACAAAGTATTCCCACATCATCACGTTTGGTTACCCGCCCTACGGCCACCGTAGCGTGCGAAGAGGGGTATGGACACGGCCCTATCGCTGTAGTTGGGAGAGAAGCCAGCCACGATATTGCCTCCACACGGACCTTCGATCCAGAGGGTTGGTTGCACAAGGATGTTTCCATGTCATCGTTCGTCGTGACTTCTCTGTGCTTTCCATGGCGAGAAGGGCTCAGGGTTAGGGCTGAACAGAAGGACGACCGCATGGTCAAGATTGGCGTACGGATCGGTGTCATATCCACGGCTTAGTCTTCTCCTGACGAAGTCGCAGCTTAACATACATCTAGGCTTTGTTTAGACCCCGCCGCGTGTTGTGGCGTGTCGCTACTACCTACTATCGTGTCCAACACGCGCCTGCAGCATGACCTAAGCTACGCCCACGTGCCTGAATTCGAATAAGTAACTACTCACAGGGAGTATCGGCCGTCTGTTCGCCAACCAACCACGGAGCGACAACTAGACGGAGGTTTCGAATAACCGTCGTAATTACATAGCTTCTTCAAACACACATACGACTAAACTGAATTGACTGTTTTCGCCATGACCGGGACACGAACAAGAAACATAAGCTGGAATATAACTCACCTTCAGTGCCCCCAACAATCCATGAAGTGCCTACGGAAGCTGAGACAAAAGGTCAAGATGCCAACAACGTCTCAACAACACGGACATCAAACCACTAGACTATGACCGCAAGCCAACTTCTCACTCCCAAGCACTCACCCTTTCAAGTCGACAAATGCCACAGGGGGGTAAAGCTACAATCGAGCTAAAATTTTAGCACTCTCTTGACCCAAGCTGATCGATCCCCGCATTTTTAGCCCCCCAACAGAATTAGAGTAGAGGCGGGTATCAATGGCCACCCGGGTATTAAAGGCCATTTTTTTTTATCAGGGGTATCTCTCCACCGAATTCACGGAGCCCGTGATCTTTTTTTGAATTGCTCCGCGCAACCGGAGCTCTCGTTTGAGCACCACAGCGTCGCACGCCAAGGGTTCTACCCCGAGATACAGCCGAGGGAGCCACCAAAGCTCCCGCTACTAATAGCCACCTTCGTCGTTTCCTTGGGATTTTTGATAAGCATGACCCGGCGCAAGATGGACGAGGAGAAGGTTCGGAAGGGCTGTGCAGCGATAGATGATGGCATGTCGGTTAGGATGGCTGCTGAGGTCTTTGGGGTAGGTCGCACGTCCATCGAAGACCGCCGCCATGGCAAGGTGGCCATGAACGCGAAGGTTGGTCCCGAGACCATCCTGAGCAAAGAAGAGGAGGATTCGCTGGAAGATATTCTGCTGTTGCTGCTCGCAACTTCTTGGCTATGGATCGGGTTCACCTCAGAGATGCGGTGCGACGACTCTGCAACGACGGTCGGCGGATCCCTTGTGTTATGGAAATGTTAGCACATAGCCATTATGAGTCAATGTTCAGTAGCACTGCACTTGTACGTCGTAGATCATCGTAGATCTTGTTTTTTTTTTTCTCCCGTCATTGGACTCTGTCGTCTGCCCCTCTGGCCCCTATCCTCCACTTCTACTAGCTAGACGACCCAACCGGGGTCACATAGGAGGGGGGGGTTGGACCCCCTCCTGCGGTTCATGCCTGAGGTATTTTTATCGCGAGAAGGGTACAGCAATCCCTTCCCTCGCGACTTACGAAGTCGATTGTGGTTTACTAACAAACGAGCTTTGCAGCGCGTCGCTTTCATCCTAGACCAGGATTTATTTAGTGAGAAAAAAACTCTCTCTGCCGGGACTCGAACCCATGACCTGGCCCTTAGCAGGCTGCGAGGTTACCCACTAGACCACCGGGGCGACCGATATGTTGAGGTGGGGCTGTTATGTGCCGATTGGTATGGAACGTTCGTTGTATATGCTGAGGAATTACTTCTGTAGGATTCTATGTTGCCTTGACGAGTAGCTCACTCTCTCGTGTGGATCCTTCCTGACTGTCTGGNGGGGAAAGATTGGCTTGCGGGCTTCCTTCGTAGGCACCCACGGGTGGCGGAGCGCTCGACCTGCATCTACGAGACAAACAGGATCACCGAGGACGAGGAGACTCGCGTGGTGCAGTTCTACGAGAGATGGGCAGCTCTCCTCGACGAGGTCAAACCGGAGGCCAACCACGTGCACAGTGCGGACGAGACAGGTGAAGATTTGCTCGTAGACTAGTCTATAATAGTGCAGACTAGTCTACAGCAGCGGTAGACGTGTGGCAGCAGTAGAAACTGCGCGGGTGACTGCTGTGCAAAGACCACGAAACATGTCACGAAAAATATCAGGCAGAGTTCTGCCCCATTGCGGCGTAATTTTGGCCTCCTCATGTACGGCTGCAGTGTAGTCTAGACACAGAGGCCGTGCTCCCGCATTCCTGCTCAAAAATGCCGAAATTGCCGCNGAGCGCTCGACCTGCATCTACGAGACAAACAGGATCACCGAGGACGAGGAGACTCGCGTGGTGCAGTTCTACGAGAGATGGGCAGCTCTCCTCGACGAGGTCAAACCGGAGGCCAACCACGTGCACAGTGCGGACGAGACAGGTGAAGATTTGCTCGTAGACTAGTCTATAATAGTGCAGACTAGTCTACAGCAGCGGTAGACGTGTGGCAGCAGTAGAAACTGCGCGGGTGACTGCTGTGCAAAGACCACGAAACATGTCACGAAAAATATCAGGCAGAGTTCTGCCCCATTGCGGCGTAATTTTGGCCTCCTCATGTACGGCTGCAGTGTAGTCTAGACACAGAGGCCGTGCTCCCGCATTCCTGCTCAAAAATGCCGAAATTGCCGCTGGCTCTGGTCTAAAGTAGGCGACAGCAGTAGTTTCAGACGCAAAAGTAGAGTACAGCACTGGTTCCAGACAATGTACTGCTGTAGACGATGGTATTCTAGAATTCAATATTTTCATAGCTGCATCGCATCGCATCGTCTTCAGCTGGTAGTTCGAGGGAACCTGCGGCGACGAACGTGTAACTAAGGGCGATTTTTAGTAGACGCATGTACCAACACATGAAAAAACTAGACTAGACTAGACTAGTCTACACAGCACCCTGCTTTTGCTCTCCCGGTTGCCTCGTCCAGCTACCGCCAAAATGACGGTAGACTGCGTAGGTTGAAAGCCCTCGCCGCACGAAAATAAATTTAAAAGAGCCACCGCGTGTCCCCCCCCCCCC